TTTTTTTTTTTGGTAAAAATTCTCACGAGAAAATCTTAATACATTTTTTAAAATGGAGACCTAAGTGGTGGGGGGGGGCTGAGGCGTAGCGTGGTGGGGGCAGGGGGACATATGTACCCGGCGCCAGCTAGTTAGGGGCGCCAAAAAGTGCTTTGATATTATTTTATTAATGAAAATAATGGGTTTGAGAGTTGAAAAAAAGAAAAAGGGACGCTAAAAATGGATCTTGTCCCCAGGCGCGAATCTTGTCCCCGGGCGCGAATCTTGTCCCCGGGCGCCAAACACCCTCGCTACGCCACTGGGGGGGGGGTCAGTGGAAGAGGATTACGACATCATTTTGGGGTAGGGTGGGTCTTAGGAACAAGAGGGAAGGAGCATAAGAGTCTAGTATCTCAAGGAATGTATTTATAATTACGCGGTCAGCGTTATAAATAGGATGGACTTCACTGGCCACTTGCATCATAGAGGTGCTTTATAGCGCCCATTTAAAACCCTTCGTTGCTCTCAGAAAGGTCATGTTTAAAGAAAAAGTTGGGAGGGGGGTGTGCGAGTGTCGCAAGTCTAATATAATGGCAAAATATAGGTAACAGATAATATTTCAGATTTGTGTAAATCTGTCAGGAACTCATGAGTATGAAATATTTGGTGCCTCGATAGGAGTACATCTGATGGACTTGATACACTCGTCATTTCTAGAACACTGCCATGTGCAGAGCAGATTGGCCGTCCACATCACCATCCTGATCCAGGAGCAATATCACCATGTGCCCTTCGGGCTAGGCCATGACGGTGAAAGCAGAGACCCAAGCTAAACTGTTAGACTGCGCTCCTTAAAAGATGGTCCACCGAGCCTTACGTTGCCGGTCAACGAGCCCAAATAGTCAGTCCGCCCATCATGAAAACGTATAGTCAAATAAATTTTTTTAACATAATTATGTAACTAATAAGTCTGGAATCGGTCCCTGGGGAAATGTTTAAACTTGTCCAGCACCAGTCACCAAACTTTAAAAGTTTCTCTATGGATTGAATATTATTAATTTTTTTAATGCTTTAAAAAAACATTTATCCACAAATTTAACCCCAAAAATTGAAGTAAATGTCCCACAAAAAAATTCAGCGATGTTACAGTCATATGACTAACAAAGCGTGGGGGCGCCCATCAACGCTGTGTTCTTTCATTCAGCTCAGTTGGAGATCCCGCATAGGCCACTCAGAGGTCATTGAAGATCATTGTGACCTGGTGATCACGTAGGGTTGTATTTTCTTCGGAGTTTGGTAAGTCTACAACGTTATAGCATGCCTCCTATTGATCATTACAATTACCAGTAGATGTATCCACCAACAATGACCGGGTCTAATATAAGCCGCCTATGCCTGCAACAAATTGCTTGTTGACGCAAAGCTGTCTATGTATTAGAAAAGAGCGCGAAGGAAAAAATGCTCATAGTTTTAACAAAAGTCACTTATTTTACGTCCATTATTTACTTCAACAACTTTTAAGCAATGTTTGACCCCCCCCCCTTCCCTGTCAACAACTGTCAAACTTTTAGTGACCCCCCCCCCCAGTAATCATGTCAACATTTGTATACACCCCCCCCCCCAAACCAAAAAAATGAATTATAATATAAATACATTTTAATATAGATCTAGGCCTATACATAAATTTTACTTTTTAATGATCTATTTTAATAAAATTGTAGGAAAAACACTTTAAAAAAATATTTTATTGCATCTTAAGCTTGTTAATCAACAAGTTAAAAAGTTTTTACACTTAAATTGTATAATGCAGAATCAATGAAAAGGTTGTTAGGGGCCGTCCATAGAGTACGTCACGCTATTTTTGACCATTTTAACCCTCCCTCCCCCCTGTCACAAACGTTCACAAATCACGGAACCCCCCCCGCCCTTTTTTTTTTAAAAAAAAGTACATCACACTTTCGAACAAATTTTTTTAAAAAATTAACACCTAATTGAAATTTAATCTAAAACACATTTCACGATTAAACTGTATTAAAATATAAAATTTCCGCTTAATTTCCTCTATCACATTATTAAAAATGCCTTTAATAGTAGAATAGTTAATTGTCAACAGTTGTCACAGTCACAGTTATTCATTGAAGCAGTAACTAGATCTAGATTCAATCTTGATTGAATTTGAAAACAAAAATTGCAAAATTGGACTAGACAATTATATAATACACATCATTTATCTGCTGCTTTTTCATTTACAATAGGTGAGGTCAAGTTTTAGATAATCTTCCGATTATGCAATCTTTTTACACAGGTTAAGAAGTGTATTAGAGAAACGACCTCACCAAATGATTAAATAATAAAAAGGACAGTGACAGAATTAAGCAGCGGACAACATAGAAATAATAATACTTCAGGAAATATGAAAGCAAGACTATACATAAAACAAAGCTTTGCAACAGCATACTAGCGCTCCAAGCGAGAGGAATCGTGAACAACACATTCAGGAGACACTCATTTCCTGCTTTTTTGACATAAAACTAATTCAAACGTTACACAAAATTTTTGACAATTTTTTAAAGCTATTAAATTCCACTAAAAAAATAAAAAATTCATTTTTGAGTAAAATTTACACAAAATAAATGTGTCACGTCACACATGGCCTGACCCCCCCTCCCCCCGTCATAAACTGTCACACTTTCTTACACCCCCAACCCCCCTCTGGAGCGTGACGTACTTTATGGACGGCCCCTTAAAGACTAAATATCATTGTTTGTGGAAGTATAAATATGATTATTGGCAGTATAGCTGACAATTATAGAATACTTTCTAGCTGCTATCATCTTCCCAGGGAGTAGCCAGGTGTTTCTCTATCGTAGCAATGGGCATAGTAGCTGATTTATCATTTTCATTTTGCGGAACTGATATACCAGATAAGTCAACATCATCCTCATCTAACCATTCAGCACTTAAAATAGAAGCATTGTCAATGTGAGCAATCTCTGTCTCCTGGCAGCTACTTGCATTAGTCGAATCCTTTTTTGTTGAGGAGCAGATGGTAATTTCTTATGCATTGTCGGTGCTGTTGAACTTGCTATTTCAACATGACTTGTGATGCGAAATAGATGTTACAGATTTTGCAAATCCGTTCAAGCAGCGATGTTATTATTGTTACTCACTTTACTTTCCCCTAATTCTTAAAATATCATAATCCTACTCTATCAATATCATTTATCTTGATCGCATATAACTCTTGAACCTTGTCCTTGTTCCATACCTGCAAACGTACCGCCCTAGACAAATGAGACCCTAGTCACAGTGGCGTAGCGAGGCAGGTGCGGGGGATGCGGACCGCACCGGGTGACACCATTTTAGGGGTGACACCCGATTGAAAAATTGCATATTTACAGGGCACACATTTCTCGCAAAAACCGAGATTCATAAAAGAATAACCGATCACACATATATTTTTCACAAATGTAACCAATCCAAATGCGTGCTTTATTAAAAGTTCAAGGTTGATGTTATACTGTGGACTTATTTTAACAAGAAACAATTGATCATAGAAGTTTGTGGGGGGGGGGGTGACACCATGAGTTTACCGCACAGGGTGACACCAACCCTAGCTACGCCACTGCCTAGCACTTTGCCACAAAAAGAATAACCGATCACACATATATTTTTCACAAATGTAACCAATTCAAAGGCGTGCTTTATTAAAAGTTCAAGGTTGATGTTATACTGTGGACTTATTTTAACAAGAAACAATTGATCATAGAAGTTTGTGGGGGGGGGGGGTGACACCATGAGTTTACCGCACCGGGTGACACCAACCCTAGCTACGCCACTGCCTAGACATTTGCCACAAATAGAATCTACATTCGATAAGCAGCCAACTTTTGACTTCTCTTGCATTAACTAAATGTGCTAACATTCTGACCAGCCATCAGCAGTGCACAGACAGACACACATTAAATATTAAATAAATCTTATATTGTTTTATAAAAAAAAATTATAACTATTTACACTCATTAAATTTGTTAAAATATTGTAATAGCCAGTCAATTTTTAAGAGTAACAATTTAATAGAGAAAACATGATTGTTGACGTCACCTAATCTAACCACCCTCCCACTTGTCAATAATTGTCAAACATCCCCCCCCCCCTTTTTTCCCCTATTTTGTTGACATAATTAATGGACGACCCCTTGCAGCTGCTCTAAATGTCGTGATAATACTGCGGGGTGATTGTTACTCCTTTGATATTTAGTGAATGATTTTACAGTTGTTCCCCTTGCGGATTTCTCTGCCACGTATCCCGAATCACGCATGCGTCTCCCCAATTACTTCCGGAAACATTTCGTGTCCATAAAAGCATTGTTCAATGTGACGCAAAAATTATGAAGTCAGATTCTAAAAAATGATTATAAAACCCCCACTTAGTAAAGGTTCTAATACTGCAGTAATTATTTTTACGTGTTTATTTTATGATATTTAATCACTACTACAACGCTTTATTGCTAGCATAAATATAAGGTATGGCTGACGGGAATCATCCACCGCCTCTATTCCCCTCCTCTAACTTGATGCAATCAGAATCACAAAACCAACCCCAGTTTTACTCACCTTCAAGTAACAATAATATGACAACGACCCAGTCAGGTAAAGTGTGTATATTTTAATAAAATTAGACAGACCATTGTGAGTGATATTGTTTATCTAGGCTAATTAATGAAAATATTTAATTTCTCCAATATTTAAGAATTCTACTCCACTGACCACTGTGATGACTGTCAACTGAAACTGTGACTGAGAATTCACTGAGATCTATTTTCTTTAAAAATTTATGATGAGATGAATTGAATTATCATAAATAATAATAATATAATAGACCAGGGGTCATCTAACTATGGTCGGCAGGCTTAGATTTAAATTAAACGAAGTGTCTACACTACGTCCGGTGCGCCGGACAAATAGTGCGCAAGATATATGTCCGGCGGCATGTCACGTGACCGCCAGACGGCTAGTAGTTTTTATAATTCCGAACAAAGTGCACTTTGGTAGATCTTGTGTGGTCTACTATCTAGTGGTAGAGTGGCCGCTAGACGTTATTATGGTTTGCCTTGTAAAAGTTATGTGTTGGGGTGGGTGAATATACATTGCTATTCTTTATTTCATAAATGTATTTTATTTTAATGTCATGATTATGTCTCTTTTGATAAAATTTTTATGTACAGCGCGGTGAGCCCAGCTCTAGGCTGGGGTACCACACTATATAAGACGTCTTATTATTATGATTTGAGGATCAATACCGGGGATAGGATCGTATTTTTTGCCCCCATTTTAATTACAAATATTTTATACTATATTTATATTATCATGTTCATCAGCAACAGTAGTTTCATGAGAAGTTTTTAAATATATTGTAGCAATTTAAACAATTTAAAATGAAATCTTTTACTTTTATTAGTTGCCTACTCCACACTGGCCCCAAATTTATTTTATGGATTACTGGTACACAAACTCAAATAACAAACTAAACAAAAATGTTTACAAGCCACAAGTTTTTTTCTATTATTTGCATTCAAGATACTCAGTACATTACTTGGTAGAGAAATAGATTTTAAAATTAACAATAGTTTTGAATCATTCGCAGTCACGTGACAAGGCTGACCGACAAGATATCTCTCGCCACTTTGTTACGGCAGTCATGCGACTTGGTCATCGGACAAATAGTGTGGGAGATATACGTCCGGGGCGCGCCGGACGTGTAGACACTGCCTAAATTAAAAGTTCCCGGATAGCAGGGACAAAAATATGATTAATAATATGATATTATATGGAACTGAACATTGACAGTAAATGACTCAGTAATTGATTGAATCAATGATGATTATCTCATTAGAAGGGTAATCCACCACTTGAGCGTCGGCCAAGAAAAAATCCAGTTGTTCCGGCAGGAGGGGCTATTAAAACAACTATTATCAACTATTCTTATATTGGAGTTTGTTAATATTTTTGCTTCCATGTAGAGGCTATAAAGTTATATAGCACAATACTAATACATTTAAATAATTATTACTGCCAAGCTACCGATTTGCCAGGAAGAAAAGGAGACTACAATTATTTTTTTTGATCCAGATGACGCGGATGTCCACATACAGAATGTGGAAAACGTGAATGCCCAAAAAGCGTAAACTGAAAAGACAGTTTGGCACAAGAAGCGCCGGTGATCTTTCCCCTTCATATTTATGTGGATTCATGTACCACAACCGTTTTCGTGGAAATTATATTTTTTAAAACTTCATTGTCAACTTGGGGAGAACTATGCATAATTCCATTTTCACACTTTATCTTCTATTTCAAAAAAAAATTGTTATAGTTTTTCTATTTTAAAAAAAATTATCTATTATTATGGGAATGAATACGTACAACCAATGTCATTAAAAATAATATAAGAGTAATTGTTTAAATAGTCCTTCCAACCGGAACAGCTGGATTTTTTCTTGGCCGACGCTCAAGTGGTAGATTACCATTAGAATTTTAATCAGACAAAAGCAGGCTAATAATTTTAATTTAAATACTATTGGATTTTTGATGGATATATTTTTTTAATTTATTTTAAATATGTTATTCAATTATAATTCAATGTTATTGTTTTTTCAAGTTTGTTTGTTTTTCATTTCAAATGAGATATTAATGTGTGCATAGAACTCATTCATCTTTTTTCAACTGTAGTCTTGCCCCTGACAGTGTCTGAAGACTGATGGACATTGATCTTACTCCTTATTTTAAAAAGTTAGAGAAATCCTCCCCTAGACCTAGACCTAATAATTAATTATTGAAAATACCAAGATAACGTCAACACAATATAAGTAATCAGCTAGGAGGCTATTATATTCTAGACATTGGACTGATTTGTTATTGAATTTATCATCATATATGTACCCTATATAATATATTTAAGCATTGCCATTAGTCATTAATAATAATTAGGCTAGACCTAGTGTCCTTTAATATTGATACATTAGTTTTAGTATTAATAAAAAGAAAAGTTTCAAATTGAATCATTGCGTTGAGAGATTTCAGGATTGTCATCATTATCATTTTCCCCCTCCTTACCTCGGGATAAGTCAATATATTTAGCCTAGTTTTAGTTGTACAAAATGGAGTTCTAGTAGAGCAAGGCCCAACTGCCAACTAGGCTTACAACTTGCATATAATATACATTATAATATATATTATTAGGCTTTATAGCTAGAGTCCTAATACAAATCTCATATTTTAATATATTTTGCTTCTTTTCTGGCTTAAGTTAAAAACTGCTAAGTTAGAACTAGTTATTGTCATTGCATTAAAATAGTAAGCCAATTTTATTGTTTAAAGTTGAAGAGTAGGCAGTCCCCTAGAAATAGTAGGCATATGTCAGAGACCTTGGCTTTTATATTGACAGTAAACTTAGTATGATTCCCCATATCAGTTCTGTTGTCGAGGCATGCTTCTGTCATCTGCGTGCCCTGGGTCAGCTGCGTCCTCAAATCAATAGGAGAACAGCCTATGCTGTAGCAGTAACTCTAATCCAGTCAAGATTAGATTACTGTAATAGTTGTTTGTGGGGTTTACCTCAGAACCAAATTCAGAGACTTCAAAGATACAAAATACTGCAGCACGCATTGTATCGCGGATGAAAAAATCTGACCACATCACCCCAGTTCTACAAGATCTTCATTGGGTTCCTGGGAGTGAGCGCATTAACTGCAAAATTCTGTCCCTGGCGTACAACTGCATAGATGGCTCAGCACCGGAATATCTCAAGGAACTGATTTATAAACATATATCCTTGAAGAGCCTGCAGTCTTCATCACAGTTCTTGCTGAGTGTTCCTAGTGTGGATAAACACAGAAAAAAAGTGTGCTCTTTTGAAGCGATAGCGCCAAAATTATGGAACAGTTTGCCTCAATATTTGAGGGGAATAGTAAATGATAAAAAATCATTTAAGAAACAATTATAACATTTTAAAAAAAATAGATTTCGGAGGACCAGAGCACAGTGAGCATGCTAAAATGGCATGGATACCGGCACGATATAAATATCAAAATCAATCAAAATCATATTTCATTGTTTGAAGTGTAAATAATCAATTATTGAAACAAGGACAAAAATAGCATTCATTGTTAAAGTTAATTTTAAGTCTAGATCCCTTCAGTTCTATGTAAGTTCCAAATCCGTGTATTATAAATTTAAATTATTAGGATCTTTTACTGTAGGTCTAGAGCTTCAACTTCAATATTTATTCATATTTTCCTAGTGAGAAACTTAAACTCATTGGGCCTAATATTTTCTAAATGTACATTTATATGCCCAAACTGTAACTTCAGGATATATAAAGGCTTAAGAACAATGGGGATTTGTCCAACCAACAGGAATATAGATTAGAATTAGAAATAGGTTTGGCTTTTTTGTAATAATATTTTACTTGCCGTACATCTTGTAGCATAGGCCGTGTAAATATTTGATTTTCAGTTTTAAATATCTATCAATAAAGTAAAAATATTTTTATACATCTTTTCCAGCTCAAGTTAAACCTCCAGCGCTATCACCAAATGGGCCATTTTCACCATATCAGCCTGGGTCTACTGATGGTAATCACATCACATTAGGTGGACCATCAGTACCACCAAACACTGTTAATGGATTGAATACTTCCAGTCAACAGCAAATGAGGCCCTCATTGATGGCCTCCGGGTTTCCACCTCCTCCAGGATCAAACAATTTCAATCAACCTCCAATGAGCAATATACCAATTAGGCCTGGTGGACCATATCCCCCTCATCCCAATTTCACACCATTAGCTGGTCCTCAGATGAATGGACCTGGTAATGTGGCCTCAAGACCACCTTTTCCAACACCGCCATTAGGATCACAAACACCTGGCTTTCAAGGACCTACACCACCATATGGAAATAGGACTCCTTTACAACCAGGTGGTGCTATGCGACCACCACCACCCTCATTAAGTGGCCCTGGACAAGCGCCTCCAACCATGGGTTTTCAAGCAATGTCTGGTGATACAGCACAGAGTGAGAATATCTTTTGTATCTGTCCTTGTTAATCAAAATAAGTATTCACAGTAGACAGTTTGTTTGATTGCAGGTATTGGGTGCAGTGCAACACAATTTTATATAAATAAAAAAATCAGTATGAAATGCACCAGGTCATTAATTATTTTAGAAACACATACCACATTGTTGACTTAGGAAAGCATTCCTCATTGAAAATTCAAATTATAATATGAAAACATTACTTTTTAAAAAAACAATTAATGGAAATGAATTTAAGCTCAAAGAATAAAAATGCCATAATTATAATTAACCCAACTTAAAATACTGAGTTTTTGTGTGTTCATAACTTGCTATGATCAGCTTGTCTTTCTTTTTTTTTCCATTAGCAACATAACTGCTTTATTTATTCCACATTATAATTATGGTGAAAAAATGTTTTATGATTTTGGTTTCATTTACAATAATTTTAATTCAGTAATTATTAATGAAACTGTAAGTCAACATAATTTTTAGACCTTAGTTATGATATAACAAAAGGTTTTGTGTTAGGAGAGTAATTTTAATTTAACAAGTATTGTGCTTTCAAGCTCTGCATGCTTTTCGTTTCAAGGATAAAAATAAAACAGACCCCCATTTGGTGAATGCATGAATCTTTTTTTTTTTTAAACCTAACCAAAGTAATAAAAAGATAATTGGCAATAATATTATAGTTGATTGTTTTCATTATGCTTATAAATGTTGTGGTAGTTTTGCCCCGCCTCACTGCTAATTTGTTATTAGGTCAATCGAGTAAATTACGTTTTTTTAAAACAAATTTTGCAACATATCACATCCTTGAAATCGAATGTAATATTCTGGACAAAATAGGAATTACCTTTTTTTAACTGTGAAATTATTTTGCACGTCTCTGGGCCTGGATCTTATTTATTTAACAACTCAGCTTTTAAGCATTTCTATTTAATGTGTCAATTAGTTACCCTATCTGTGTTTAGTGGAAACAAATATTCAGGGTTACTTAGAGAATTGATCCTAGTGTTTTTATCTTATAGCATTTAAAAACTATTTGTTACATACTTAAAACACTGTTGGTCTTAGATATTTTAAACATGACTTATAAAAAAATTTGTATGTAAAGTTATTGCTAACATTATGTATTTTTGGTTGAATTTGCAAATTGATACACAAGAAGAAAAAAAAGCTTTCAGCAATAATTAAACTGAGTCTGGGATTAACATTGTTCTAGAATGTATTAGGAGCTGAAGAGTGATAGAACATTAATATTCCACACAGGTCGGCCTAATGAACTTCCAGTACCATTTCATGGACAGGGACAATATTCTCACCAGGTTAACCCTCACATGCAAAAAACCCCCACTCCAACTCCCAGTAACTCAGGTAATTGAGTTCGTCATCTTTGGTAGCTGTCCATATTTTTATTTATTTTAGTTTTCAATAAGTTAGCCAAATTGCATTTCAGTTAAATTTATTTGTGTTATTACAGTGTAAGTGAATACATAAAAACAAAAATATAGCAACAATTGATACGAAAGCCTAACATGCATGGTTCAGTTGTTTTAAATTAATTTAATGCACTTGATTTGTTTCTTATCTCTTTAAACTTAATGCTATATAACAGGTGTGGCTAGCTGGGTCATTATTGGGAACTGCATAAAAAAACAAATAAGCGCTCAAGGAGTAGGCAATATTGCTTATGCATAATACTTACTCTGTCCCTTCACAACTGTCGTTGATTATAGTTGTGTCTCTGACATTGAAAGATATCAAATTTTCAGAGATTTCATTTATCCAAAAAATGTTATCTATATTTTCCAATAGTGCAGTTTGGCCACTCCTGCTATATAAATTGCAAATTCTTTAACAGCATTCCTTAGCTTCGAATCTTTATTTTGAAGTTCTTATAATTCTTAGTCTTAATTGTTGTACTTCTTCATATTTTTGTCTTTCACCCAGCAGTATAGCATACCTTAGGGAATTTATAGAATCTTTGCAATATTTTTAAAGAGAACAATGGTCCATTGCTATGCGCTATATCTTTTAAAAACAACACCTTCTCTTGCTTGCTTTATTTTTGTGTGTTGCTTTTGACATGTTTTGTAAACGTGTTTTCTTTTAAAAAAGAAATCATTTTAAAAGAGATTGTTTAAATAATCTTTAATCATAAATTAGAACCTCCATCAGAAAGATCATCACGTGGACCATCACCAGTGTCTGGCTCAACAATGGATGCATTAGAGGGACAGTTTTCACCAGGACATGGTAATTGTACTTTTTTTGTGTGTGGGTGTCATTAAATGTTACCTCAAAATTAAGAAGGCAGTCCTATTGTTGATGTTCATTGAACAAGGCTATTCCTTAACACTGTATATTTAACAATCTCTTCTTAGGTTCAGCATCACCAGCCTTACAAGGAAACAGAGCTAGTCCTGTTCAAAGTCTGACTCCTGGTACCCCTCCAAAGATGTCTGGAGGCTATTCATCAACAATGCAAAATCAACAGTTTCCCCCTCGACCTGGTTTACCACCTAGTCATCCCTGGCCAGGCTCACAGCAGCAACAAACTCAATATCAATCACAACCACGACCCCCAACCTCTCAGGGGTTCCCCCCTCTACCAAGTCAGGCTACAGGTTTTCCAAGTAGTCAACCTAGGTTCCCTCCTCACCCTGCCTCAAGCACATCATCAGGCTTTCCCCCACATCCAAACCCGCAAGTGTTTCCTCCACCTCCCTCAACATCCAATACAGCAGCTGCCTTTTCTCCACCCCAAATGCCTGGCATGCCAAGGTTTCAACCTCCTCCTCCAGTGGCTGGTTTTCCACTTCCTCCATTATCCAGTGGGCCCCTCCCTCCAACATTTGGGGCTTCTCCAAACACAACATATGCGGGTTCACCACCTCCACTAGCAGGAGCTCCTCTTCAAAATGTGCCAGGTTATTCACCTAATGTGACAAGTGATGGCACAATGCCCCCACAGTATGGAAACATGGTATGTACAAATTATACTTCTGATAAATCAAGCTTTTTAAATTTAATTCATTAACAAAGATATTTCTAATAACTTGATCTATCAATTATACAGTTTATGAATAGTATATTAAAAGACCAACATTTTTTCTGGTATAGTTAATATATATTATTTTACTGTTATCTAGTGTTGAAATTAATTGTTAAACAATTCCAGCCACCAGCGAGTCAAGGAGGCTATCCACATCCTCAATTTGTGCAGCCCAGTTTTCAACAACCAGGGGTTGGTTATCCTAACAATGTAAATGCCATGACACAGAACTTTGGCCAGATGGGGATTCAAGTAAGATATGCGAATGACAATGTTATTTCCTGATCTTGGCGCTAAATGTAAAATGACTGTATTGTTTTAGATTTCAAAGACAGCCATCTATAGTTTCAAATGAATATTGTGATAAAAAGTATATAGGAGTTCATTTTGATTTTAAACCACGCCTGGTTAAACCAAATTATCATTTGGGTATCCTGATGTAGATGATATTAAAATTAGTTTGAGGCTGATGAAGTGTTTCAATCACAGAATGTCTTTAGTCTTTTTTATCAACCAAAACAAACTCTGTTTTGATATGTAAAAGGAAATTAAAAGATAACTCACAAGTTATTTCATGTGATTTATCAAAACTTTAAAAATATAATTGCATCTGTTATATTTTAAAAAACGGTCTTAAATTGTAAATTAATCTTTCTTTCAATGTAATTTTGTTAGCAGGACGCACCCAGAGCGGTTAACCTGTTAACTGAGAGACAGTTAATACCAGCTGACGGCTTAGAAACTTCAAGACCTGTGTTACCCCATGATTTCAAAAAAGTCAATTGCAGTCCAGAGTAAGTTAATTATTTTTAAAACTTTTTTTTTTTCGCTGATACAAAAATGAAAGGAAAGACGACTGAAATCTTGTGACGACTAAAATGCTAATGAAGAGAAACTGATTATGTAAAAGCTTAAATGAATTAAGATGAAGTTTGGTACATAGGTGCTTTTATTTGTAAGTTATTATTTATTATAATGTTATTATGATTTTAAATTGTTGAGTGTAGCCATAGTAACAAAAAATACAGTGAAAACCCTATTTTATATCTTAGATGTAGCTTTACCATATACTATAAATACACTGTTTGTGCCATTTAAATTTAGTTATTGAAAACAAAACTGAAAAGAAATTTATGGTCATCAGCTCTATTTTAATTTTTTTTTAAAAACTGATTAATATATAATACTATAGGTTTTAAATATAAATAGTAGTTAGTGAGATTTTTGTATTTAACATTTCTTTTGTAACTTATTTTGCATGAAAGCCATTTTCTGAAATCTGTTCCAGTATATTTCGATGCACACTGAACGCCATCCCACAGAACTCTGCATTGCTCAATAAGGCCAGACTGCCACTGGGAATCCTAATACATCCATTCAGAGATTTATCTGTAGGTCTTTAATTGTTTATACATAAGTATTTTGTTTAGTACTCAGCAAACTGGGTTGAAATTTTGTGGGGCATGCATGTTGTAGCATAAAATGCTCATCTCTGAAAAATCTTTAGCCGTTTTTCCTATTGAACAGGATCTTGAATTCAAAATTTCTGTTTTCAAGCATTATATTTTTTACAGCTCTACCTTTAGAAAAATATTGCATTGTAAATTAACAAAACCATCTATAACCAATTGAATTTTCATAATAGCAGTTAAATGTTTTTAATGAGTGATGTATAATTCAACTATGTGTTAAAAAATTGCAGGAAGAAATAGATGGAGTAAGTAGTTTGCTTGCTCTCTTAGCTTGGTGGTTTTGAAAACAATGGTCTACCATCTTTTTTCATTACATCATTCATATTTTATTAATTACACAAAAAATTGCTTACTGGACATTTTGAAACGAAATCTTTTGAAAGATGCTAATGCCTGGGATTGAGACTAATTATTCAAATGAAATTAGGCAATTATTTTCTAGTCTGAAAATCCACATGCATGGTGGTGGCTAGCTTTTTTAAATGAATCTATTAAGTATTAAGACTTGACGATTATAGAAATTTTATTTATCACTTCTTTTTATTTAAAAAAATGTAGTAAACACTTATTATTTTTAGGGGGCACTTTTTTACTTAAGATTTGTAAGTGGAAATATGTTATTTCTAAAAAATAATGATGATTAGCTGAAAAGGATGTTTTCTAATGAAAATTATGCTGAATTTGGACTGATAAAGTTAATATTTTATTAAATTTTTAGTGGTTTAACATATTGATAAATTCCTTTGCAAGTACTGCAGACCAGTTTACCCCGACGATTTTGCCGAAGTTACTATGTTTTTACAGCACTATGACAAGCCTTAAAAAAAACTAAGTTATGTTAAAAAAATGCATGAAAATGAGATAATGTTTTAAAAAAAGGCGCCACAACCCATATTTGGCTTTCTATACTGTAAAACATTAAAACTTAATTTAACTAGACCAGGTTTAGAGGATCAGGGTATCTGGCCTTCTTGGTCTTCGAGTGATGTCTTTTGACTTTATAATTTTACAGAACAAATCATTTTATTTTTATTAACATTCTATGTAGGCCTACAAGACATACAAAATGGCTAGATTATTTTAATAAGATTTTAGTGCGTTTTTTTACACGCATTTAAATTTATGATAAAATTTACACTGGCGGACAATAATACTAGTGCATGGTCCGTTTGTGTGTGTACCACCTAAATGCGGCCTTCCAACATGAAAAGGTCGTCCTCCCAGGCTAGACTCTAGTCTTTGTCCTATTTTATTTACAACCCCCCTCCCCTCCACCCTCTAAGGCCACAATTCTTCCCTGATTATTCACTGTATATGTGTGTGTATATATATATCTGGCCTGCACATTGTTGTAGCCTTGATAAAGTTGGACCTGTAGGCTACCGTAACCGGTAATTTGTTTAAAAGAAATTTTGTTGACGGAAATTTGATCGAAAGGAAATTTTTCTTCAAATTTCTTTTTGAACACATCATTTTGTTTTACTATATTGTATAGTGCGTTCAAAAGATTTAACGAAAATTTTAACGTGTGAACTGAAAAAAAAGATTTGATCAAATTTCCGTAGACAAAATTTCTTTCAAACAAATTTCCGTTAACCACAGGCTACAGCTAGTCCTAGCTAGGTTGTAGACACAAATTTTGTATTCATTTAATTCATTAATAATTTTTTAAATTTTATTGTGGTTTGGATAGCGTTGACTAAAAATGATTTTAAAAAAATAAATTTAGTATTTTATCATTTAGTATAATATGTGTGAATATTTCCAAGATGTGCAATGCTCTCTCAACAAAGAACACACTTAAAGAAAATGGCAGAACAAGAACAAATTCTATCATTTTCCTGATGAAGCCAGACCCATTTACTATCTTGACAGATGATTCCAATGATATTTCTGAGAAGCAGTTTTTGCTCTCCTATACACTGTAATGTCTTTTTGTACTAAAATCCACCCCACTATATGCTTTTGCGAGAGCATTGAGCTTGACAGATACTGACCTCAACTAGCTCAAATCCGCCTATTGATCAAGCAACTCTGTAAAGTCGGGGTCTTTTGAGCCAAACTGAGTACTATATCCCTAAATTTATGAGAGTAAATATTTGATGTAATAAAATACATATTGACTAAATAAACTTCTCTTTGGAGCTTATGTTTTGGAGAATTGAAAACTACTCTGACACTAACCTCTTTGTTAACTGGTCTGGTATTTTCTTTATTTTTTAGGTATTGAATCGAGGTATTACACTTAATACTTTTTGTGTTATTAACTTAAAGCTGTTAATTAAGTTGTGAAATTAAATTTATTTACAGCAATTGCCAGTGATACAATCAAGTGTTATTGTAAGATGTCGAGCATGTAGAACATATATCAATCCCTTTGTTGTGTTCACGGATCAAAGAAGGTGGAAGTGTAACCTTTGTTTTAGGGTTAATGATTGTAAGTTTATCACAGATGATATTAATTCTTTAATTCAGTTTCACTGCTCTTCTTTCCCCTGCTTACAAAAAAATGAATTATTGATATTATTATTAACCTATTTCAATTTGTAATTGATTATTGTAATTTTGTTTTAATGTGAAGCATGCTTTTTTTTTTTTTTTTTTCTTTTTTTTTAATTATTTTTTTTTTTTTTTTTTTATTTTCCCATTTATTTTTCTTTTTTTCTGTTTATTTTTTTTTTTTTTTTTTTTTTTTTTTTTTTTTTTTTTTTTTTTTTATTTGAAGTTTGTTTTTTTTTTTTTTTTTTCCTTTGATTTACAATGATCTCATATTTTTCTTCTTAAGTACCCGATGAATTTTCCTTTGATCCGGTTAGCAAAACATATGGTGATCCGCAGAGGAGACCTGAGGTAAAATCTGCTACAATTGAATTTATTGCTCCTTCAGAATATATGGTGAGTTTTCATCTACACTATACTATACTTAATGTTAATGGTTTTATCTTATTGGTTATCCTATTTTTCTTCAGCATGATGTGAAATTGTTTTTCAAACCTATAATTCTTTAAAAAAGATTTTATTTCTAATTTATTAATCTTTTAAAACTAGAAGGCATTTTTGTCCATATTTTATAATTAAAATTTATAATAAAACTATTTTTAAAAATGTATATGTATTCTTTCAGCTGCGCCCACCACAGCCTGCAGTTTATCTCTTTTTACTGGATGTGTCTTTCAATGCTGTTAAAACTGGTGAGTTTACATGGGTACTTAATTGGATATTGTTCGTAGAAATTTATTATTCTTAAGTATTATATGTTCAGTGTTTCACAGACAGGGTATTAGTATTCGCAGAAGTGTTTAGCATGTTAAACATTCAAGCAACAATATTATTTGAGGGCCCACGATCGATTTATTGATCATTTTGGCTCCTAGTTTTAATTCAGGTTAGCCTTCCAAGGCTAACAACTCCCATCCACCCGGGGTGCTTAGGATTTCGGCTTTAGCGAGGAGTGAACTCCAGACCACCACTATTTGGAGTGAGTTAGTTTAGACCACTCGGCCACCCAGCACCCTGTTTAACAGAATCCAACTCATTTATTTATACTATGTCCAACTTTATTTCATCTCATCTCTGTCTGATCGTTGAACTCCAGACCACCACTATTTGGAGTGAGAAAGTTTAGACCACTCGGCCACCCAGCACCCAGTTTAACAGAATCCAACTCATTTATTTATACTATGTCCAACTTTAGTTCATCTCATTTCTTTCTGATCATTCTCATTCCGAAACAACAAAATAATTACCAACACTATTAATCCCAATAAACTTTCTACTAGTCAGCTTCGTTCATCGTGGAGACAAGGTCTGTCACTCAAGCCGTTAATTTAAGAAGTCTTGCTTGCTCTACTTATCAATAAGTTCAAGGACTCACAAAATATTTGCCACTCCTTGTTTGCCTCAAATATTAACTTGACTTGGACAATTTTTTGAAACAACCTCTTCCAAGTTACTCAGAATCAATTTATGGAAAATCAACTTCATGATTCTCTTTGCAGGTTATCTTACACAGTTTTGTCAAATCTTGATTGAGGAAATTGATAAGCTTCCAGGAGATAATAGGAAAACAATAGGCTTTTTGTGCTATGACAAGGCTCTGTACTATTTTAATCTTGCTGCCGGTCTGTCACAAGCACAGATGCTATGTGTCCCTGATCTCGAAGGTGACAAGACATTTATTAGAATAAAGTTATTACAATTGATGACAAAATTTGGTTAAAATGACCTTAATTCTTTAAGTGACTCTCATAAAATATAAATTATGAAACGTGCTTTTCAGCAAAGTCTATCTTTTGAGTTAATTTTTTAACATTTCATTTGTTTTGATACTATGATAATGAAAATTTTGTTCATTTTAATTTATCGACTTTAAAATTATTTTTAACTCATTTTTAATTATGAAAAACTTACTGATAAAATAAAAAGTCTCAAAAAATAAACTGCACATTTTCATTGCATTTGAATGTTCAAAAAATTTTAAACGTAAATATTAAAATCTAATAATTGTTCTTGCAGATCCTTTTTTGCCTTGTCCTGACAACCTTCTAGTCAATTTAAAAGAAAGCAAAGAACTGTTGATTGATCTACTGAACAAGCTGCCTAGTCTTTTTGAAGGAAACTATGAAACTGGCAGTGCCTTAGGAGCAGCACTTCAGTCAGCTCACAAACTTATGGTGAGGAGCTAGTTTTTTCTAAGTAATTAAAAGGAGCAAAAAATGGTAATAGTTATAAATCTGATGCGTGATTCAAGACTACTAAAAGCTAGTATAAGTACTTCACACAGTTTCTTTATACTTTTAATCATAGTCATCCAAATTTGTGTAAAATCTTGAAAATATCCAGAAAGTTAACTTTGTTGCTCTAAACCACTAAAAATGTAGTATTTGGGGAAAACTTTTATATTTTACCTGATTGGATAATATCAAATGGATCTTTTTGATTTCTATAACTATCTTTTAAATTTAAAGTCATAATGATTGAAAGCTGATCAAATATTTTTCAAATATAGTGTGTAGTACTTTCTGTGGTTTAAATTTTGTTTCTAAATGGTTAAAAGTGATCAATTTGACATTTAAAAAAAACAACTTAAGACTTGTTTTATTTAATCTAGAGTCCTACCGGTGGCAGAATAACTGTAATGCAGACATGCTTACCTACAGTTGGACCAGGGGCATTAGAAAATAGAGATGCATCAAGCAGTGCTGGAAAGGTAGAATATTTGTACAGGTTATTTTCTTTCCTGAAAGCATATTCAAAATGGTTGCAATAAAATTCTAACCACATGCAACCAATTAATGTATTGTTAACATCATCAAATAACTTGGCTGGAGTCTAATTATTAAAATATGTTGCAGAATGTAACTATCATTGGACCAGCTACAGATTTTTATAAGAAACTTTCTTTGGATTGTTCAGCTCAGCAGATAGCAGTTGATTTATTCATGCTAAATGCCCAGTATGCAGATATTGCTACATTAGGTTAGTGGAATGTTTTCATTTTTGCAAGTGCTTTCATTTTCACTTGATGTTAAACTAATTTCATAAAATATTTAGGTCTTAAAGTTCAATAAAATATTTCTAACAGATATTTTGTCTTGGCAATTATGTTATCATTTTAGAGGACAAAATTAACACTATGATATATATAGTACTGTGCTTATTTAAATTATTAAGATTTATTCAGTAATATAAGCTATTTATTTCCAGCATGCATCTCCAAGTTTTCAGCTGGATGTGTTAATTACTACCCATCATATCACTCTGTGAAAAACCTCGGAATGGTTGATAAATTTGATACCGATTTCCGACGTTATCTGACCAGAAAAATTGGGTTTGAATCAGTTATGAGAATAAGATGTACTAGAGGTTAGTCCTTATTACCAGCATGCTAAGCTTAAATAATAAATATTAAAAAATATACAATGCTATTATTCCTAAAAATAAACAAGCTATTTCTATCAACTATCATGGAAATGCACCAATATTTTGTATGCTAAATATTATCCTTCCCTAGTGGTTAAGATTTGAAAAAAAAAAATTAAATTACAATCTAAATGTAATAACAGTGTAATAGTGATCGTTTACTTGGTCATCATTTACCCATAGGTTAGATTATGGAAGGGGATGAGGAGATAAATAACACTGTTTTAAACCTTAACTATTAAACTAATTTAGATATCAAGAAAACAGTACAATGGAGCACAAATACTTCTGCGTGACCACTGTGATAAATTCTTCATTATCTGTATTAATTCTTTTGACAGGATTAAGCATCCACACGTTCCATGGTAACTTTTTTGTTAGATCAACGGACTTATTATCGCTGCCTAATATCAACCCTGATGCTGGATTTGGAATGCAGATGTCGATTGAGGACAACCTGCAGGAATCAAGCACTGTCAGTTTCCAAGCTGCACTGCTTTACACCTCCAGTAAAGGTAAGAAACTTTCTTTTTTCCCACGCTTTTAACTCATTCCCTCCTGCATTGCTACTTCTGTATTTAATTTATTTGCCTGAGAAAGGGAAGTAACTCCGTTTTGCAATTGATTTACATTTGTAAAATATTTATTTAAGCTGCTAAATATTATTTAATGTTAACGAATTAAGAATAAATGCAACAAAGAATGAATAAGAATTAATATAAATATATTATGAGCGGGGGAAAAATAACGAACAATGGCCAAAAAATTGATTTTCGGAACCTCGGACAAACATGCTACATTTAGACGCGCCGTACTAAAACACACGTAGTTTTAAAGTGAAACAAGATAAAAACTTCCGGTTTTTAAATTAAAATCATGCTGAACCAGGCCATCACCAGAAGTCTCGAGGGATGCGAGATTTCATTGCTATTTTTAAATAGATATGAGAGAGACGCATCCGGCGAAACCCGTAAAGGACGCATTTAGTCGCAAATGTCGGGAATGAGTTAAAAAGACAAACAAAAATTAAAATGACACAAACCAACTCAATCCCCTTTATTTTGGTTCATCTTTTCAAAACCCACTCCCACAATCCAGTCAGTATCCTGCCAGTTCTGTATTTATTTTTGAATGACATAAATGTGAGGTCCCCCATAAATATATACCATTTAAACTAAAAGTCTCAGACAAGATTTTGTCACAAAAGTTATACTTGAGGATTCAATAGTTATATTTAAGATAAAATAAGGATAAGATATTTTTATTGATCCAATTAAATGGAATTGTCTTTTTCATTCATCGTACTATTTTTTTCAGTCCTGAAAATACTTGTTTTGAGTTTTTTCGTTGTTGCTTAAATTTAGTCTGTAGCAAGACACTGGGCGTATAATGGTGCGGTAAGAATAACTGTTGAGTTCTTGAGTGAGATCAGAGTCTTGGATTTTTGTTTTAATGGATTTCTCGTTTTTCCTCTCCAAGATCAGGGACACTCCTTTTGTCTGTAGCTGATTTGTCTTTGAAAGTTTTTTTTTTATCTTGCCATTTGTTTACAAGATGGCGTCTCAATTTTTTTACCCATATCGTGGATATGGCCTTGGTTTATGGGAACGATGTCCAAAAAATCCATGTAACCGCTTTTCTTCATGATAAAAAACCGTAAGATTTATAAACCAAATTGTAACATGTATGCATTGCTTTTGTCTTTGACTATTGATTTTTTGTTTGTTGTTGTTTGGAGCATTAAAGGAAACATTATCTTGACTTACATTAGGACATAATTAAATTATCTCAATATTTAATTTCCAAATGAAAAAATTTTCAGACTTTTCTAAGAATTCAATTTTTTTAACCTGAACTTTAGTTTAATCAGAAGTCTGTAGTTTAATCAGAAGTCTGCCTGTAACCAAATAAAAGATAGCATCTGACTAAAGGCTATGTCACACTTAATTTATTAGTTTGAATAAATTTAAATAAAAACAATGTCATTCCTCAACTGCTAATAAAAAAATTATTTTCAGCCTATGTGGGTTTAGTCATTCAATACTTAATATCCACATAGCTCATAGAGTTTTAAAAAAAAATCTAACACCCCCGGTACATTTAAAAATTAGGTTATATACATGGAAACAATGTTTGTTTTAAGTCAGACAATATTGATTTCACTTAGTTTCATTAAATACAGGAATCAGTATTGCTACAGATAGCATATTTAACAAAGAAGTTTTTTATGTTTACATAATATCTAAATTGCTTTCAAATTCATCACCTAAGTTTCTTTTTAACAACATTTCTATTGATCAGTGTAAAAAAAAAACCCTCAAAATTTGACAAGTATTTAAAGACGTCATTATCATTTAAAAATTTCTAAATCCATCCATTTATGAATAAAGTAAACATGCTAGAGTGCAGGGGAAGCCAAAGAGAGATTATTCATGAATGCTCTTGATGCTATGCTATATGAATGCTGTTTGGCAACGCATGGTTAAAAAGGTTAAAATGGTTAAAATCAATTGTCACCACTTTGCATAATGTGGATATAAAGTGTTATCCAGCCTTGTGGCACTATAGCCCATGTAGGGCTTTGGCCTGCCACATTCCACTTAGACCTAACTGATGCTCTTCTTTTCTTTGCTTGTATTCCCAGCTGCTGTCGATCTTTTTCCACATCCATCCATCCATCTAAGCCTAGGTCTGCCTTTGAGCCATTTTCCTCTGGGTTTTTGGTGGTGCACCCTGCTTGTAGTGATGCATCTTCTAATTCAATAAAATCGTTTGATATATCTTTACTACTTTTACCTAACAGTGCTATGTCATCAGCATATGCAGGATACTGGAGGTGTTGTAAAGTGCCTATTGGTTGGGGTCTTGGCTTTCCCTCAGAAAGTATCCTGTCATTGTTCCTCGTGTGTCAATATATATATGTTTCTTATAACTCTCTCTGTTAGGCTAAATAGCATTCAAGACAGTAATTCTCCTTTTCTTAGGCCATGTCTAATCTGAAATTCCCTTGAATAATCTCCCTTAACCTTAATTTTGCTTTTTAACTTGTTAAATGTTACATGCATCAGTCTTGTCAGTTTGTTGGGTATACCAAACTCCTGGAGAGTCTTATATAGTTATTTTCTTTTGATGCGGTCATAGGCCATTTTATAGTCCAAATGGAGTTGATGTACTGGGATAATATATTCTTAACATTCACTAATAAGCATCTGATGGTGAAAATCTGATCAGTCGTTGCTCTTTTTTGTTGAGTCCACAGTGCTAGTAACCTAGTATTTGTTCAGTGTACGATTTTAATTGTAGTCTTTGGCAATTAGTGATGTCAGTATTTTGTATGTAACTTTGGAAGAAACTACTGAAGTAATCAATTCTATGAAAAATCACAAAGCTCCTGGTGAAGACCCCACTGAAGAAGAAATTATTAAATATGGAGGTAGAGGACTACAACATCACTAAAGAAGCTCAAGAAAATATGGAATGACAAAAATATAGCCCCCATCACCAAAATCAGGCTGATGCGCTCATTAGTCCTCTCCATTTTCCTGTATGCCTGCGAATCCTGGACATTAACAGCCGATCTTGAAAGGAAAATAAAGGCGATGGAGATGAGAGGCTTCAGAAGCATTTTTGGCATCTGCTTTAGGGACCATATCTCCAATGATACAGTGAAAGAAAGGGTTCGTCAGGCCATTGGGGAATATGATAATCAACTGGTGACTGAAAAAATGCAAACTACAATGGTACGGCCACATAACAAGGAAACAAGGGCTTACCAAAGAAATATTGCAGGGCACCACAAGAGGAGGGAGAAGAAGAGGAAGACAAAGAAAAAGATGGGGGGATAACATCAAAGAGTGGACAGGACTAACACTGGGCGATGCAGTGCGTAGTGCTGAAGACAGAGAGGAATGGAGGAGGATGGTTCACATGTCATCTGTGGCGCCCCAATGGTCCAAGGACTAAGGGACATTAAGATGAAGAAGTATGCCCTCAAAATATTCAGCCCACCTCTCCAATACTTAACTATTTGCCATAATTAATTCCCATCATTGCTCTCACACTCTTTAAAGTGGTGTTTCCCAATGTGGGACCCACGCCCCACAGGAGGGCAATTTGATTGTTCAGGGGAGTGATTGGAAAATGATCTGCCTAGGATTTGAAAACCAACCGACTGCTATGATTTAACTTGTATTTTGAAAAAAGAGCAACATTAAAGTCTCTATTTACTGCAACTGTCATTCGTAATCTAAAGGCTAGTTATGAAAATTCCTTCCTAAATCTGGGAAAAATCATACTATAGGAGAGAATTGATCAAACCATCAATACCGGGTATCAGCATTTCTTAAAATGGTTGTGGAAAAAGAAGACGAAGACATGAATATGAAAGCTGTGCCACTCAGTAACAATAGTGTTAGCAGAAGAATAAAGGAAATGAGTGAAGAAATTGAAATACAACTTATTAGAAAAAATGAAAACAAGAAAATTCTCAGTGCAAATGGATGAATAAACTTTTAGAGACAGTAAGGCTGTATTGATAACTTACATAAGATATAAAGGGTATTTTGCTGAAGAAATGTTGTTCTGTAAATCATTTTAAGCACCGCTGCTGCCAAAGAAATATTGTATATTAAGCTAAAAAATTACTTAGATGTCAATAATATACCAATGATAAATATAACATCTGGTGCTGCAGATGGTGCTCCTAATAAAATGGGCAAGAAAAATGGCTGCTTAAAATTGATGAAAGATGAGAATCTAGAAATGCTACTTCTGCATTGTGTTATTCATAGGGAAAACTTAGGAGCTAAAAACATTTTTCCTGTTCTAAATGAAGGGCTGAATTCAGTTATAAAGTGTATCAATGCTATTAAAGCTGATGCCAAATGTGAACGTCTCTTCTAGTTATTTTGGGAAGAGCAAAATGCAGACTATGTGACAATTTTACCTCACACTGAAATAAGATAGCTTTCGAAAGGGCATTGCTTGAAAAGATTTATGGAACTGTTTGAAACTCTTGCGATTTTTTTACCTGATATGAAGTATCTTTTACGGTCTATGGTAACGCATTTGTGAGTTATTAAGCTAATATCTTTGAAAAAATAAATATTTTAATTTTAGAAAGGCTTAGGTTGGGGCATGGCACAAGAAAGGTTGGGAAACACTGCTCTAAAGTGTTACAAAGATTAATATGGTCATATGATTAAATGAGTTGTGCAGGCCGTTACTAAATTATAATTATTCTTTACTATCTTGAATTAGGGGAACGAAGGATTCGTGTCCATACTTTATGTGTGCCTGTGACCAATCAGCTTAGTGAAGTCTTCGCATGTGCTGATCAGTTGGCTGTAGCTTCACTGCTATCAAAGATGGGTAAATGCATTTTTTATTTTAACTTAATATTTATTAATATGTATATATAAAGTATGCAGGTCTTTTTAAATTTATTGTGATTTTTAAAAATGTAATTGCAAAGCTATTTATCATTAGAAAAAATATTTAATTAGGTAAGTACCCTAGATTAAGAATGGTTTCCCCAAGTTTTAATGGTAAATTTATATGTTTATTTAAGTTGAGTGTTTTGTAATTTTTTTAATTCAGCTGTGGATCGATCATTGAATTCAGCAATTAGTGACGCCAGAGATGCCATGATGAATGCATCACTGGACGCTTTATCTGCCTATGCTCAGCAGATCCCTGCCTCTCAAAGAGTTGGTGCTTTGTTAGCACCACACTCGCTGCGGTTGATGCCAATGTTTATGTTAGCCATGTTGAAGAGTGTAAGTTTACTACTTTATTCATTTCAACAATTGCTTTTTTAAAATTAAATCTGTATTTATATTTCAATTTTTGAGAATTAGTTGTTATATATACTAGTATCAATGATTTTTTTTATTTTAATAGGTTGCATTTGCACTTGCTGGAAACCCTAAGGTGGATGATAGGGTCTTTGCAATGCAGCAGTTCAAAGTGATGCCTCTTTGCTACTTGATCCAAAATTTGTATCCACATCTCTATCCTTTGCTTAAACTTAATGAGGAGGTACACATAATTTTTCCTTTGTTGAAAGTGCACATATATTTTTAGTTAAAAGTTTAAAAGTTAAACAGTGTCTACTATTACTATTAAGATACCAAGTTTAAAATTTTCATTTTATTCACTTAATAATATAAATTCATTATGATGCATAATTTAATATCATAAGTAACTTATTCCCTCCATCTGGGAGATTTCTGCACTTAATCCATTTTCTCCGTTTTTCAATTGATTTATATTTGTAAAACATTTGTAGTTTCTAATCTAAATATTGATTAATTTTAACAAATTAAGAATTCTAATCAGTACATGTTAGATATAAGAAAAAACATAACAAGCCTTTAGATTAAAAATGACATGAGATTAAAAACTTACATTTTTCTTAATTGAAATCACACTATCTCTGGGGACATAATTGCATGGCTATTTTTAAATACCATGAGAGAGGTTGTCAGGATGCATCATTCATGACACCCTCCCCCTCTCCCAAGACAAATTTAGCCACAACTGTAGAAAATGAGTTGAACTCATTCTATAATATATATAAGGTGGATGTTTAGGCTAGCTGCTAGAATACTGACAGTGACATGAAATCTTCTGGTCAAGTGGGACTTTGCAATTTTCAAAATAATATTTATACTTATTCAAACTAACGGGTATTTATATTTTTATTTCTGTAGAAAGTCATTAAACATGGGGATGAAGAGATTCCAAGTGCACCTCTGTTGCAGCTGTCATCAGCTAATATAGATAGAACAGGTTTGTTCTTAATGGATACAGGTGATGCCATGTACTTGCTGGTGGGAAGCAGTGTTGGTGATCAAATTTGTCAGGATGTCTTTAATAAGCCTAACTTCATGTCAATTCCTGATGGCATAGTGAGTTTCCTTGAAATATTTTTTAAAGTTTATTTTATGTTGTTTACTTTTATCATTGAGCAACACCTAAAAAATACTCTCTAGGGTATAAATAAAAATGTATGATGAACATATCATCCTATTTTGCTTAAAAACATTTGATTAGTCACTTTAGACCAAGCTAAAATTTAAAGGTTTCTGTAAATTTTAGATGGACTTACCTGAACTTGAGAACCAAACATCAGAGAACATTAGAAGTTTCATCAACTATTTAATGGATTCTAGACCAAATGGAGTTGTGTTTCTTGTTGTCAGGTGAGTGAAGGGCTATGAAATAACTCATTTTTTAATAAGTTTACAAACTCACAATGGGAAGGGTGGTAATCCTTAAATTTAAAATGTACTGGATGCCAGGTTTAGCTATTTACTTTCATGTAACTTATGTGATAAAATATATTTTTTGTCTAAAATGCACCTATACTTTCACATTTTTTCAGAGATGATAGTAAAAACAGACATCTTTTCTTCCAGCATATGCTGGAGGACCGCTCAGAGAACAGCATGTCCTATTATGAGTTTTTGCAGTTTCTGCAAGGCAAAGCAAAACCTTGATTAGGATTATACTCTAAGAATGACATAATTTTTCTTTCAAAATCAGCTTACTTTCAACAGGATTTGCGATTGGTACTAATATAATGACCTTTCCTGCTATGAGAGGCAAAATGTTTTATTAGTGTACATTATATGATTGCCACATTGATTGTACAGCAAATATTTAGTTATTTATTGTTTCCTGTTTCTGTCCCTTATTTGTTTTCAGCATTGTGATACTCTATAAAGTGTGAATTCTATTTTATTTCTATATATATATATATATATACAGTATCTTGACTTTCTTTTAATCCCTAGAACAAGTTTGTTTTGTGTCATTCTTTTCGATTCCTTTGTTTTCATATCTGTGTGTATGTGGCAGTTATAAAATTTCTGTAACTCATAACATGTGTAGTGCGTGAAAGGGATATTTTGTCTGCCCATTTTGTCATGCAGTATGTTAGTTAAAATTATTTTTATCTTGATTCTATTATGCATTCGCTATTGATTGTCAAGATGTGAGTGTTGTGCTGAAAATGCAATTTCTTTAGGTTGTGTGCACGTATCATCACTTATTTGAAAATAAATGGGCCAAAAGTATTTCTCATCTTAAACTCATTATTTTTTAATTTCATTATAAATTATATTGAGCTTGATTGATGATTCATACTCATACAATGCTATAAACAGATTTATGCTTGTATGTTATTTATTCTACCTTTTTTCCTTTGGCGCTTAATAGCAACCACAGATTAGTCAGAAGCATTGTAATCATATTTATGTCAGACAATGTGTTGTTCAGTATCACATATTAAGCTAACAGATTTTTAATGTCATCATGGTTTAAGATTTTATTTTTATGCAGGACTTAATTAGATCAATAAAAATAACATAAATAAATTATTTATTTTTTTGCTCTAAAAAAAAATCAGATTTAATTTTGTGGTAATAGCTTATATTATAAATAATGAAGTATATGAAGTAAAATAACAGAGGATAGGTCTTCCTATACTCCATCTCAGTCATTTAAAAGAAAACCTGTGCAGACATACAGTCTTTATAAATTTATTATAGATTGAATGCTTATCTGTGGATGATGTGACCCAGCTCTGCATAGAGTGCTTAACTTTGTAGCTAAGTAACACAATCTCTCAACATAACAAGCAGAGATTGTGTATTTGGGAACATGTAAAGCTATGAGCATTTACTGTACATAATTATGGATGCAATATTCCTCATGACAGTTATTCTTTAAGGCCATTTGGTACTGTTATGTAAAATATATTAACAATCAGCTTTAATAACTGAAAGAGGTTTCCAGTGCCTCTTTTTAATATTAATGGGTCTAAAACATACCTCACTAACATTTTTTTAAATGGTTAATGGGTTATCTGTTCTTACTGGGACTTCATTTGACCTTGATTAATGAATTTGTTGCTATAGTTACCCATGCTGGTACTTTGTGAATCACAAGCCTCATGACAGTTTCAAAATGTGATCTTGAAAAATTTAAACTATGGCTTACTACTGACTCACATTCAAATACTGTATTTAGAATGGAAGGGTGTTGGTAATTTGCTATTTTGATAAACTATAGTCAACACAAGGGAACAAAGTTTTCAAGGGTTATGAGATGGGTTAAAAAATTGTACTAGTAAAGTTCTAGTTTTAAAAAAAAAATAACAATCCACATATACTCTTACACTGTCCTGCTTGTAGAGCCCAATATGTGTTGTATTTAACAAATGCCAAAGCCATCTATATAATTTTGTTTCTGAAAATACATATTACTTTGGTAAATCAGACTTGCTACCAAACTGTACATGCCATAATTAATAAGTTATAACTTGTCAGTATTTAATTTTTTTTGTTTTGTAATTTCAGAACATTGACTTCAAGTCAGTATTGAAATGGATTGTATAATATTTGAGGTGTGATATTTGCAATAATTCGTATAGACCTTAAATGTTGATATTGTATTTCTGTTGTGAAATCAGTCTAAGCATACAATTTTGCAAAGTGAGCATGAAATTGTAGTGATGGAATCGATTAACCTTTGATGCTTAAGGATAATAAACAGAATGACAGATACTTAATGTGAATCAACAGATTCTGTCGAGTACGATTGTTAAATATTTTAACAAGTTGCCCTTATTCCCTTAATAGGAAGGGAAAATTAGTTTTTGTGCATTTTTTACCTAAATTAAATGCGCACAAAATAATGTTGTATATATTATATATTGTCTGCGGTGATGGTTGGAGACTCATTCACCTTCTTGGAGCCTCATTCACCTTCGTAGAATACACAATCCTCAAATGTGAACCTTTTTTTGTGTGCATCATTTCCTTTAGTGTTTATTTTGTATGATAGTGGGCAAAAGAAGGATATAAATGAAAATGGGAGAAAGCAATATAAAAACCAAATTCTTTACACTTGTTGGTAACTTAAAACTGATCAACAGTTTGAAAGATTTGTTTTTAAAATTTCCAATTGTTAATTTTTCCCCCTTGCACATGATTTTGATGGCTATGTCTCTTTGGCAGTGAGACTTGCTGTTCCTTATTACAAAAATAAGTTACAAATAAATTGAGGAATAAAAGGATAGCATAAAAATGCATTGTTCTGTTCAAGATGTTACATTAATAATTTTTTACAAAGTAATTAATATTAAGGTTTGTCCACAAAGTACTGCAGCAAATATCCACGTTTTCCACTATTTCCCCCTTGCCTGTATATGGCTGATATACAGTTTTCCATATATGATCAAATCCCCGTCCTTGCTGAGGACCCATTTGTGAAAACAGATCAATATTATAAATTTAAACTAAATTACATTCTTATAATTATAAGGGCTAGGAAAACTGTGCAGAGATGTTGCAAAAAAGAAATGCTCCGAACTGAACTTTGCAAAAGTAGTTTTGAGAACCTTGATGCAGAGTGTCATGAATTGGGAAAGGCACTTAAAGAAAATGAAGTTTTCACAACAGCATTTCAGGACCAAATGAAATCAATAAGCTTCTGTCTCCATTATGAATATGATTTCAACTATAATATAAATGAGCTACAGGAGTTTGCAACCTGTGGCTCCTCGAACAATCATCAATGGCAACCGGGAAGACCAAAAAAAAAAAAGACTAAAAAAATGAATCTTATTCGGTATTCTTACTTGTTGGCACAATGAATGAATTAGAACTGGTATTACAAAAAGTTTGCTGGCCACTCACTCAGATACAAGATGTGCATTCAGTTCTCAGCTGGTGTATTGTGATAAAACCACAAGATTGAAAATGAAAACTTGAATAAGTAAACAAAAATTCACTCACTTAAGAATTTTATTTCGAATTTGAGGAAATTAAAGTACTATAATTATAACTATAATTGAACATCTCTCATAATGGTAAAGTTAAAAATAGTTTTCTGCCTGAAAATTATAGAAAGTTCTTGAATAAAACTTCAAATTTTCTTAAATATAACTTCAGCCTTTGAACCTATTGCCTGTAATTCTACTTTCACTGGACATTTTAACCAGGTGGACAACAATTCTTCTGTATAGCCTTTGAGAAAATAAATTTGACGCAACAGAGTTTTTTCCATAGTAACCAAGTAAGACAGAACAATTAAATTGTGCCGCCTCTTGATTATCACCTCAGATGTTAAAGCACCATGCCATGTTCCAAAAATGAATTTGCGTATAATCAAGTCCTCAAATGTGGTTTCCGCTATCCTCTTTTCCTCATAAAGATTAGCTAAAATAAAAGTTTTATATCATTAGCACAAGCAAATTTCAGAATTTTGAATTTACAACTTAAAGTTACATGATGGTGCCATGCACTACAAATTACACATTCTAAAGAACAATAAATACTGCCTTAAGTTTTCATGTGATAGCAGTATTTATTGATCTTTTGACACATTTTGGCAGTTAGTTATTTCAGGTGCGTTACAACATTGTTTCAATAACCAAATCAAAAATCAAATCAAAATAGGACAAAAATTCACCCCAAAAAAATCAAAGGGGAACACACTCAAAACAGATGAAGCAACATATTATCTTACTTGTGTTCCATGACAACCATCCTTTCCTTTGGTACATATAATGGGGAGCTTGAGCTTCTTCATAAGTCAAAGGCCTGGTTTTAAATTGAGTAGCCTTGGGCACACCAGTTCTTTTATTTTTACATACACAGGCTGATGTGGAGAGTCCTCGTAGTGCCACACGTAATGTAGAGTATGGTAAAATCTTCTGTGACATCTGAATTAATTAGAAAGGACTTTATATTATTAAAACAGTGTTATTATCTGACAGTAGTAAAAAAACAAAAAAAAAAAGTGATTTGAAGCACTGATAAATCAGATTCAAAGTATACTAATACGGTACTTTAAAAGCTTTTAATTTTGTGTCAAATTAATTTTTTGGGTTATACGCCATCCAAAAATGATTAATGCATCTAAAATGGTGGGGTAAGGTCATGAATTTGAGATATTTTATCATTGTAAGAGGATGTATAAATTTTTTGACGGGGGGGGGGGGGGGGGGTATGGGTGGGATGGTGTTCAAAAGCAACAAAAGTAACATGATTTTGTGGCTGGCCCCTAAATCTTACCTAATGATATTTTTTTTTATATTATCGCCCAGGAATAACGTATTTATTTTAGATTATATTTTATTCCATTCCAGATTACCAATTCTAAGTCTATGAGTCTTAGGCAATATGAATTATCCATTCAGTTTCACCCTTTATTACCGGTAACTCAAAATATTGTACCTGTAATGCACTTATAAAAGTTAAACCCATATATATATATATAAGCCCTAAATGGCAATAATAAGAATAAAACTTTATTCTTTATTTAAAGAATAATTAACCATCAAAGGATGAAAATTCACATGTCAGACATTTGTCTTAGGTAAGACTTATAAGTTATATACTCCTTTGTTGGCATATTCAAAGCATCTAAAAAAACATCCAATTGTACTGGATTTGTCAAAATGATTTCTCTTTAAATTGGTATTATTAAATTATATTAGGCCTAACTAAATTAAAAGTGAAGTAGGTACAGTCTAGCTGGTTGGTATAAATAAACTTTTATTAATCTCATTAAATAATAATACTCAGTACTTAAGGTTGTAAATTGAAAGAAAGTGCCACAACCCAGGCCTCAATAAATAATAAAATAAAGTCGGCTTAAGTTATAAGCCTAAATACCCGGTATTAATAAGTTTATGAAATTTATGTACAGATAGTTATAATTTGTGTTGGTCAAAGGCTAGATGTAGCCTTACACTTAGTCTAGAGCAGGGATTGGCAAACTTTTTTAATCATCACCTCAAAATGTATACTGGTACTTTAATGCCGCTGGTACCCTTGATTAAAATTATTAAAAATGAAGACAATTTAAATTTCAATTGGTTTATTGAGCCCATTTATATGGGGAACACAATTACCAGTATAAATTATAAATATAAAAGTACAAAATAAATTCGTTAAAAGAAATTAATAAAATCCTCATCATTTTGAATTATGGATCTGGAACAAAAAGACATCTTAAAGTTAAGAGTTTCACTTCATATTTTGGAGAAATTTTGTTTCATTTTTATCAAAATGAGGACTTTTTTAAATCAGAGAAAATTTGGTTGCTGGTACTGTTTGTGGGGTAAATTATTGATTTCTATTCTTTGCTTTTATGTTTGGTGAGTGAAAAATTTTGAAAACCTTTGCATCTCTTGAAATTTAGTTGTCACTTAGCGTCACTAAGAGTGCAGGGGTATGGAATGTGCCCTAAACCTCCTCACGGTGGGGGTGGTGGAGGTGTTTGACACCAAAAGAATATTAATATTAGTAAATTTGACGGAGCTCAATGAAGTTCGTTTTATAACACAAATAAGTTAAATACAAGAGAAGGGTGTCACCAAAGTAGGGTACCGTCAGGGCAGGCTAACTAGGATGAAGTCCATGATGGAGGAGTATGGAGGATGGGGTGACACCACCATGAGCCATGAGAAAACCGCACTGGGTGGAACCAATTCTACTGATGCTACTAAGCATAAGATAAAATCAATCAAATAGGCGACTAGGCAAAAGATGACTTGGTAATAAATAATAACTTTATTTAACAAGACTAGAATCACTAGCTGCATTGCCACTGCCACTAAATCTAGTAATAGGTAGACGTTGTAACACTATATTATTAATAGGCCAGATGCAGTTTTGCAATAAATATTTCGTAAAAAAAATGCATCAATATTCAAATATAATTTTTTTCAATGAACTGGTATCAAAGTCTATTGACACTATTGTTATTGAACCCTTATTACCCAGAATATTTCCATTTTTAGCCCATTTGGAGTTATTTACCCCAGTTTGCCGACCACTGCTCTTGAGCCTAGTAATTTAGTAATAGCTTAGTCTTCTTTTAAAGTCTAGTCATGCATCATGATAACCCATACTACTCATATATTACTATTAGCAGTCATAGTAGACGACTTAGTCTTAGTGGACTACTCTACTGACTCTACTCAGTCTTTCTACTGTGTTACACTACTATTGTAGAAATAGTCCTGATTTAATAGCTCAAAGAAAATCCATGCCTGTGATAAAGCAATCATGTTAGAAAATAAGGCCATTTTATAGTTGCAATTAATCTCTACATCAAGATTTATTCAATAATTAAAAAAAATGTCTAGTGACATTGTGGTTCTATTGTCATTCTGCACGTCTAAATTCTCAATAGTTGACTTTCGAACCGGAGGTTATGAAAACGGAAGCTCTGTTAAAGTGTATTTACTAGACATGATTTGATTAGTAGTTATATTTAGCTTACCAATTGAAATAATTCTTACTTGTTAAGGAACTACGTCACCCGAATTCAGCCATTTTATAGAAGGGTTTACACGTCTAAAGAAAGCGTAGTCCATTCCAACGTAACTTTTTATTGCGTTGGAAAATTTAACGGTAATATTAATTGTATTGACAGTGTTGCCATCATCATTTATAAAGTTAAAAGCTTAAATGACATTTACCGACATTTCTAACAGTTCGGCACTAGGAAAATATTTTAAACCGTATTGCCGTCTGTTATATAATAAATTGTTGTATTATTATTGAGATTTCGTTGACTCGTTTACGCTTTATTGAGCATTGACTGGATTTGATTGTTAATTATGAAGCATAGTAAGAGCAAAGAGTAGTTTAAGATTATGTCTATTATTTCCGACATGAATTACACATTAAGTTAAAGACCTCATTTACATTCATTGTTATGATTCATTCATGTCTCATAATTTCAGCCTAATTAATTCATTTTCATTCATCTCACCCATGCCCATACTAATACAAGGCAACATATTATTATTAGGAACTCGCCTGTATTAGAAGCTAATTGTTTCATGAACCCAATGCATTTCACAAGGTTCTATGTCTACATGTCCATTTACTATACTATAATTATATTATTAATTATTCAATTCAATATTTTTGCTGTGGCGGATGTGGTGATTGAACTTGAAACTCTTATTTTCTATAGGCATAGGCAGTAAATTTGCAGTTGAGCTATTGTAGGTTAAAAGAAATAATGCCAACCTATGTCCTTCATTCTCAACATTGATCTTTTTTTCTTGTTTTGGTTTTATGTCAAAACACAGATCTCAGTGGCCTTACAGATTTGTTTAGATTAGAGGTCTTAATTAAAGGAAAATGGAAGTATTATTTAAACTTTTAGACATCAATTAAAAATATATTTACAATCATTGTTTCATTTTTAATTCTGTTTAAGTTGCTGACCCCACAGCAAAACCATCCACGACTCCCTTTTGCGATTCATGAGTTGGGAACTCGTGTTCAATAGGCATGACATGACTACTATGAAAAAGTTCCATGCTATGTTTACTAAATGTTGATTTTGTAACTTGCACAAAATAATTATATCTTTTTTCTTTAAAACATTCTTTATAAATAATTTTTGAATTTTTATTTGTCAGATTACAGCAGTTTCATACCAGAGTTTAAAATGTTTCTTTGGGATTATTTTTCATCCATTCTTAATTTTTTAGGTAAGTATTTTCCTATTTATATTTGGATCTTATCTTGGCCTATATTGTCTATTTCCTTACCAGGCTTAACTTAAAGGCTCAAAATGGTATTTAAAATGGATGTTCAAGTTCCTAAGTCAATGAATGGGTGGCAAAGTTCCAGTCATGAAACATCATGAGTGGATAAAGTTTCTTCCTTTCAGACTTTCAGTCTTCATATGTGTAGAACCAGGTTTTTAAAAATTCTACTTAAAGCTGTAGCTGTTGTTGATTCTATTTTAAACCATCTTAAAGGACCTGTAGGACCAAGTCATTACCATACATGATTACTTAAGACTTAATTTTTAATATTGGTTGTTAAATGATTATCATATTTCCAATTAGGCACCTATTATAAAATCATTTATCAATTGTTTTTTGTTGAAAAAACATATTGAATATAAATAGTTGTATAATTTTTGTTGGGACTATTACTACAAAAAAAAACAACACAAAATAAAAAACAAATTTTAAAAAAAATCATTTAATGAATACAATTTTTAAATATGGTAAGGTGCCTGATACTCAACTTTATGGGCACTATCGTATAGTGTAGATGTACTTTAAATAATTTTTATTTAATGGCAGCTGTCCATGAATCATAATCAAATACAATGTTGGTAACACTGTTTTGCTTGTATATTAATAATTTATTGTAAACAATTATTTTATGGTTTCTAAACTGGATTTGTTGGCCTTAAAATACAGCTTGCTGTGTGAAATTAGTAACTGTGACAAACCAGGTGTAATTGATATCATAATGCATTGGGTAACAGTGTTGTTTTGTCATAGTAATTGTCATAAAAAACAGATGATTTTGAATTCGAACATTAGGAATGAGTAACTAAATATCTAGAATATGTTTAAAATCAGATAACTTAATCTCATATTGGGTTTGTTAAAAAAAATTAGTATTTTAATTTGTAACATCCCTATTTTAAATAATGCAAAGTAAGGTAAATATTATGTATAATAATAATATGTATTAGTTAGTGAAATTTTAATATGTTTTATGCCTCAATGTTATTGATGGTAAAATGTCTGATAAAGGTTTTGGGCGCAAGGCCGGAAAGCTTATCCTGCTGGGACTGGATAATGCAGGGAAAACTACTTTGTTAGGTGTTCTTAAGGAAGGGCACATTATTCAGCCTGTACCTACCCTTCATCCGAGTAAGTCTTGTGGGACTGCTCTCTGCATGTAGAAGATGAATTATCATGAATAGAATGTCCACAACACATGCAAGGATGTCCATTTTGTTTGCTGTGCTTTTAACTCTAATGTTTTAGGAAACAGTAGGCCTACATGTTAAAGTTATGGCTTTTCCAGCATTCCTCAACTCAAACCACTTTGTGTCCATTGCTTTTTTTGCTCAGCCTGAGAATCAGTTGATAAAACAATCTAAATGCATGCCTGTCTTTTCAGTAGAGTTTTTGTTTTCTCCCTGCTTAGGTTTATGGAAGAAATCGGGTAAATTAGTTTTCCTGGGGCTTGACAATGCTGGAAAAACAACACTTCTTCACAGATTGAAAGATGACAGAATGGCACAGCATGTTCCAACCCTTCACCCAAGTAAGTTATTAACCCACAGCTGTTTTAATTTCTATAATATGTAAGTTAAACCAGTGGTTCCCAACCTGTGCTTTAGAGAGGCTTAGCTGCTGACACCCCCTTCCCACACACAACACACATACCACCACCCCCACCCCTCCCTCCCCCAAATTAAGGCAAGTCATAAAGAGCCCCCATAGAAATTGATTCTGAAAATGTCTTTGTGAGTCAAAAACGCTGGGATGCACTGAATTAAGCGATTCAATTATATTTTTTTAGCATGTTCGAAGATGAATAAAAGCATTTTAGAATTTGTTCCTTTCAGTGCTATCTTATTTAGATGTTTTGAGCTGTTTAGATGAAATAATAATTTGAAAATATCTGGGAAATGACATAAGATATTTTGCATTATTCATTTTTAACTGCTTTTGACTGATTTGATTTTGTTTCTTAACATTTTGAGTATTTGCTTGCAAATGTTTGAAAATAGCAATGGGATTTATTTAACAAAGCATGTCTTTTAACAAATGTGACATTCCTTAGCATTCATGTTTTTGGTTTCCAGAGTAAATAATTTTATTAAACTATGTTATGTTTAATACTGTTTGCAGTTTAAATGTTCAAAAGTTAAATAGCTTAATTAATGATTTTAAAAATTTCAGCCTATTTGATTTATAAGTATTGTTATTTAATTCAAAATTATATAATTATATTAATCAGTGTTGATATCACTACTGGCTAAATTGTTTTAAATGAATCTACTTCTAATAATTTTACAGCATCTGAAGAGTTATCCATGGGTGGAATGAAATTTACTACTTTCGATCTTGGTGGCCACAGACAAGGTTAGGGAAATTTAATTGAAAGAATTTCAAATTGTATGTTTGCTCAGTTCTCCGATTTTCTTTTTGTCTAGATATATATTTATTTTTTTTAATTTATAGTTTTCATTCAACTTCCAATTTATCTTTCTTCTTTTTCTCTAGCCAGGAGAGTTTGGAAAGACTATTTCCCTGCAGTGGATGGTATTGTATTTCTCATTGATTGCCAAGATAGGGGTAGATTTGTAGAAGCCAAGGCAGAATTAGATGTAAGTTTATATTAGTGCACAATAACATTTGACTTTATAAATGTATTGTTTGTAAAGTCTTAATAAAACTTGATTTTAAAATATTTTAATTACTACCATTTTAAAACCTAAACATGAAACACAGACAGGCAGAATAATACCTTAATATTGTAACATTATATTCAAGGTAGTAAAATTGTTGTGAACAAGACACATGATTATAAACAATATCACAAATATTTCCTAATTAAAAAGCCAAAGAGTGCTTAGCCAGGAGATTCTTTAAATAGTCTGACAATCAACTTTTGTTTGTTTTACATATACTCTTACCTTACAGATTTTTACCTCTTTTACAGAATTAAGTAGTATGTGCCTTAGATTAGAAATGTATAGTTAAAAAGTATTTAAATTGTAAATATTTGTTTTACAGAGTTTATTGACAGATGAACAAGTAGCTAATGCTCCAATTTTGATACTTGGAAATAAGATTGATATACCTGGTGCTGCTAGTGAGGATGAAATTAGGCATTGGTTTGGACTTCAGAATTTGACTACTGGAAAGGTAGGTATGGCTTAGAGACTAAGTAAGGCACCCAATTTTTTAAATTTTAAATTGCAGAATGTCTAGTCCTTTTTGAATTGATGAACTTTTGGATAATTTTCAGAGTACACTATTGTCATAAATTTAAAATATTTGAATGTCTTAACCCAATAACTGCCAGATCCGTTGGTACTTAATTAGCACCGTAACCGCCAAATCCATCCACTTGACACATTGTTGACATACTGCTGTATAGAAAGCGGAAATAACACCATTTAAATGAAAGTCTCACAAGATAAAAGATGAATGGAGATTTCTTCCATTTTTTGGTAATTTTATCTAATTGAGGAGTATTCATTATTTTAATAGCAGATTATTATTTTATTGTTATTATCATGGGTAGTCCAGTGCTTTGTCGTAGTTTGATATTTACAAATTAAATTTTTACAAATTATTTCTTAATCTATCTACGGTAACTGGAGTTGCTCCCCTTTGGCCTGGATTTTTAATTGAGTGCCCAGAATTATTGAATGGGTTAAAAAAAATTCTTGCCAAAATGTGTTAGTTTCCTTTGATTGTTATGGCCAAATTAGGTTTTAACCCAAGAACTGTGGTCGGCTGAAAAAATCGGCAGACATTCTCGTTCTGTACTATGGCGGCCGATAAAAAGCACTGCCTGATAGCCCAATCCAGTATTTAACCAGAATTATAGCCACTTCCTTTTATTAATAATTAAATCATCTTCCGGTTCAAGCTGTTTCTTGATAACTTAAAAATAAGTAATTTTTAATCAGAGTTTTATATCACTGTTTTTTCTAAAGCTAAAATGGATGACGCTATTGCTGGGCCTGCAGTGCAAGAACTAATAGAAATATGTTTGAAAGCTTTTTAGGAGAGGTTTTAAGTGATACTGATGATGATTTTAACAATCCCCATGACGATATCAGTTGAGATTATTCTTATCGTGAATTTTATACTAGTCTTAGTGATACTGAAGTAGGCCTACCGAGGCTAATGTTAGACTTGGAGCAAGGCCCGGAGGTTGGGCAAGGACTGACTGAATTTTATCAGAGAATCTACAGATTATAGTTCAGAACTAATAAATTTTACAGTTAAACAACCCAAATCAGTTCCACAGTTCCTTTTTAAATGTCTACTTGTCAATAATAACTATTTTGCCTGAGATGATGTATTTTGTACTTGGTTTTAGCAGTGGTCCCCAGTTTCTTATATAAATGACCTAAAATTGCTTTCAGGTGTTTAATTGCAATCAAAACCTTAGCAAACTATACATTTTGTGAAAGATAAATAAATTGGTTACAACATTTAGGCTTGTGTTTTAAGTATCTATAAAAATTAATGACGTTATGAGCACTTGAAATCAAGACATTTTGTCGATTTTTTTTTTCTTGAGAACTCCAAGGTCAAGGAGACTGAGCAAAATTATTTTTTTACGGGATGGGCAATATGGCTAACTTTATCCCCATCCATTTGCCTTTCTAAAAATATATACTTATTTGGGGTCTTGTATCAATATTTCTATGTCATTTAATGCAATTTCAAATGGCACTCAAAACGCTCTGAAAAGCTCCACACCACAGAATAATGCATGACACAGTTTGTGGGTTATATATACCATAAGTCATAAGTCTCTATGTTGGCAGGCAGAAGGAATGCCAACATGAAAATCTGAAATATATTTAAATACCAGTAACTCAATGATTTTTTTTTATGGGAAATCAAAAGATTGACATGAAACATTGTGACAACAAATCACCAGTTGATATTTCTCTTTCATCTTATTAGGGGACAGTATCGAGAAGTGAGTTGCCAGGCCGTCCAATGGAGCTGTTCATGTGCAGTGTACTCAAACGACAGGGATATGGTGAAGGGTTCCGCTGGCTTGCACAGTACATCAATTGATGAATGCTGGAGTGTGTTGGACTGACAGCAAAAGAATGACAGTGATAGAAGAGGGAAATGATGCATGCATGAATGGGACAAATGTCTGAATCCTTGTGGATTAGAAAGGGTGGTGACTGTGTGTACATACACAGATTGCTTGTATAGATGTTGTGCCTGTGATTCCCTAACTTGGTTTTAAAATTTCTTTGCTGAATGGGGGAATGGCAAAGAAATAGTAGATGCTGCCAAGGGCAGATAACTATTAATTAATCAGTAGTGCTACCGCTCCTCATACTCCCCACTCCCCTTTCCTCGCCCAAGTAAACTTTATGATCAACTTCTATTTTTAGAAGTTTGTGTGTGTGTAAATTTTAATTCATTCTCATTTTAGAGATATTTTTGTTTTTGACACTTTGTTATTGGTAAACCTCTACTGGTGAAGTTCAACAAACATTATTAGTTGCTTACTCCCACCAAACTAAGCTAGTTATTGCCCTTGACAGTATGTCCCTATCTGTGGACCTCTACATCTGTTTGTTTTGTTTATTTCTTTGGTAAAGCTGGGTTTATTTCCACCCACTTGACCCTTCTAGATTTAGTCAATTTTTATCCTTTTATGTGGATGCATCCTGGGAAAGCAGCGAGTGATAAAATGTCTTTGTCAAACAACATTACAATTGTGATGGTTTAATGAGAGCTTGGCATTAATCTTTTTAAAATTCTTGACTTATTTTTAAAAAATTCATTCTTACAATGATTTGCAAATGGAAAAGAAAATCACCACAGTGTGAGTAGAAGTGAGTTATATCCCTGGAAGTGTCCACATACCATTTCTGTTCATAAAACAGCTAAAAGGAGCACAGTATACAATCATTTTTTTATATGGATTGTTTTCCTGCAAATGTTTTGGAAAGGTGAAGTGTTTGTAACAGCCTAAGAAACTCTTTCTTCTTTTTTTTGTTTTTCATTTTTTTAAAAGAAAAGATGGTAGGTAAATCAGATGTACATATGTTATATAAACATGTCCTACCCTTTCCCACAAACCATTCAGAGCTCACAATTTAAGTTTCATGTTGAATATACCTGCATGGTCTCATCTAAAAACAATTAAGCCATAGAGTTGGAATTCTGTATAGGTCATTGGTTTAGAGCGGAAGATGCCTTGATCGGTTTGGACGTCACAGCTACAAATACAGGCTGCTTCGTGTGGCGTGCTTATGACTTTTTAGCTGAAGGATTTATCCAGTCACTTTATAGCAAAAAGCTTTTGACCATTTTAAAGTATATAAAAAGAGACATATTTTGTATGTTTTTATTTTTTTTCTCTCTTTGTAGCATCAACCAGATAATCAGCATTACTGCTAGATTAGCCCAGTTTTCAGTTTTATATCTGAACTTTGTTCCAGTGGTAGTTTTAAAATATCCTTGGATGGTATTTATTCCTAAACATAGCGCATTGAAACTAAACTGTGCTAGTAGTTGAGATATTAAATTAATTTATTTGTGTGGTTGTTTCTACCACATACCAACACTTGAATAGTTAAAGAAAATGTTAAAATTGGTGATAATGTATTAAAATAATTTTTAAACCAAATAAAAGGTGTAAAGTTTTGTTTTTTTCTGAATTTTTGTTCTCATTTACACTAGATTGTGGAAATTTGATTCGCTTTAACAATAATTAACTTATGATGAAGCTCTGTAGTGATATCAAAAAATTGTTTTCATTTCAAAATTAGCACCGGCTACAAATTTGGACAGAATTGTTTTAGCTAAATGTTTACCATAATATTGTGGTTGCATTAGCATAAAGAATTTTTAGATTCTTAATACCGGTATTATTAGATTCTTAATACCGGTATTAAAAATTATGGTAAACATTTAGCAAAAGCATTGACTTTAACAACTTTATTGCCTTATTTTATTATTAGGCATTCTCATTAAGTGTTTGGTTTGCCTTGGACACACAAAAGTTACTACCATGGTTATACATCTTGTGTAATAGTAATACTACTATACTACTACTATTATATTATATAGTTGTGAATTTGAATTAATGAAAAATCACTTATACTAAAATATGAATTTACAAAAACAAAATTGTGTAATTGTTTTTGTCATTGATCATGAGTCAACACATTATAAATACATTGACAGTTAAAACAACGTGTTTGTGTGTTACTTCTTCTTTGCCTTATCTGTACCCAGTGGTCCACAAACCATTTAAACATTCTTTCCATTGTGTGTATGTGTTATCTGTTAAATGCCTGATGGGAAATGGAACACTCATTGTACCATGCAGCACCATTGTACCATGCAGCACCGCAGTTGTTGGGTCATCATGAAATAATTGATTCCATTTTAATTACTGGTATCATTAACACATATTGCATCAAATCCTGTTCAGTTTCAGTAGTTGGCATATTGAAACAGTTTTTGGACAAGGAATTATTTTTAATCAACACAATGGATTTTTTATGATATTTTCTTAGGGTTTCATCAACACACATTATTGTGCCTCTTATTATAAGTGGAATTTGGTGGATTAGAAAAGCAAAGTGTTTAATTAAAAATAATGTCTGAAGAGAGGTGTTTGTTAGGACAAGAACAATTTAAGGTATATTTTGTGATAGTTCTGAAAAGGCCAGTACATTTAAAGATTGTATAATGATTTACTCTGTCCTGGAATATGTTAAAAAACATACAAATTTCAACCTACAGTATCCCCAAAGCCCTCTTCTAAAATGATAATTAAAATTTGTAATTTGACTTGACATGTCGGCAATGTTTTAAGAACATTATTTCGGGCTGCTGAAGTCATCTGAAAAGAATAGTTGCTGGGTGCTTACCAGTTGCTAGCTGGTGCAAAATTAATGAGAAAATGTATAGCCATCGTCTGAAGCTTGTCAGCACTTACAAACTTACAAGGCTGTGTTTCTTATATTACAACACACCAGAAATTAAACATTAGGTATTGTTAGCTTCAAAGATTATTGGCCACGTTCCAGTTGTTATGTGTGCCTATCACAGCCCCCTATGTCAAAGCACGTGAGTTGACGTCCACATGTCATTTTGTGCCTATCACAGCCCCCTATGTCAAAGCACGTGAGTTGACGTCCACATGTCATCTTGTGCCTATCACAGCCCCCTATGTCAAAGCACGTGAGTTGACGTCCACATGTCATTTTGTGCCTATCACAGCCCCCTATGTCAAAGCACGTGAGTTGACCTCCACATGTCATCTTGTGCCTATCACAGCCCCCTATGTCAAAGCACGTGAGTTGACGTCCACATGTCATTTTGTGCCTATCACAGCCCCCTATGTCAAAGCACGTGAGTTGACCTCCACATGTCATCTTGTGCCTATCACAGCCCCTTATGTCAAAGCATGTGAGTTGACGTCCACATGTCATCTTGTGCCTATCACAGCCCCCTATGTCAAAGCATGTGAGTTGACCTCCACATGTCATCTTGTGCCTATCAAAGCCCTTTATGTCAAAGCATGTGAGTTGACCTCCACATGTCATTTTGTGCCTATCACAGCCCCTTATGTCAAAGCATGTGAGTTGACCTCCACATGTCATCTTGTGCCTATCACAGCCCCCTATGTCAAAGCACGTGAGTTGACCTCCACATGTCATCTTGTGCCTATCAAAGCCCCCCATGTCAAAGCACGTGAGTTGACGTCCACATGTCATTTTGTGCCTATCACAGCCCCCTATGTCAAAGCACGTGAGTTGACCTCCACATGTCATTTTGTGCCTATCACAGCCCCCTATGTCAAAGCACGTGAGTTGACCTCCACATGTCATCTTGTGCCTATCACAGCCCCCTATGTCAAAGCACGTGAGTTGAACTTCACATGTCATCTTGTGCCTATCACAGCCCCCTATGTCAAAGCACGTGAGTTGACGTCCACATGTCATTTTGTGCCTATCACAGCCCCCTATGTCAAAGCACGTGAGTTGACGTCCACATGTCATCTTGTGCCTATCACAGCCCCCTATGTCAAAGCACGTGAGTTGACGTCCACATGTCATTTTGTGCCTATCACAGCCCCCTATGTCAAAGCACGTGAGTTGACCTCCACATGTCATCTTGTGGCTATCACAGCCCCTTATGTCAAAGCACGTGAGTTGACGTCCACATGTCATTTTGTGCCTAGCACAGCCCCCTATGTCAAAGCATGTGAGTTGACCACCACATGTCATCTTGTGCCTATCAAAGCCCCCTTTGTCAAAGCATGTGAGTTGACCACCACATGTCATCTTGTGGCTATAACAGCCCCTTATGTCAAAGCATGTGAGTTGACGTCAACATGTCATCTTTTGCCTATCACAGCCCCCTATGTCAAAGCATGTGAGTTGACCTCCACATGTCATCTTGTGCCTATCAAAGCCCTTTATGTCAAAGCATGTGAGTGGACCTCCACATGTCATTTTGTGCCTATCACAGCCCTTTATGTCAAAGCATGTGAGTTGACCTCCACATCTCATTTTGTGCCTATCACAGCCCCCTATGTCAAAGCATGTGAGTTGACCTCCACATGTCATTTTGTGCCTATCACAGCCCCCTATGTCAAAGCATGTGAGTTGACGTCCACATGTCATCTTGTGCCTATCACAGCCCCCTATGTCAAAGCATGTGAGTTGACCTCCACATGTCATCTTGTGCCTATCACAGCCTCCTATGTCAAAGCATGTGAGTTGACCACCACATGTCATCTTGTGCCTATCAAATCCCCCTATGTCAAAGCATGTGAGTTGACCACCACATGTCATCTTGTGCCTATCACAGCCCCTTATGTCAAAGCATGTGAGTTGACCTCCACATGTCATCTTGTGCCTACCACAGCCCCCTATGTCAAAGCATGTGAGTTGACCTCCACATGTCATCTTGTGCCTATCACAGCCCCCTATGTCAAAGCATGTGAGTTGACGTCCACATGTCATCTTGTGCCTATCACAGCCCCCTATGTCAAAGCATGTGAGTTGACCTCCACATGTCATCTTGTGCCTATCACAGCCCCCTATGTCAAAGCATGTGAGTTGACCTCCACATGTCATCTTGTGCCTATCACAGCCCCCTATGTCAAAGCATGTGAGTTGACCTCCACATGTCATCTTGTGCCTATCACAGCCCCCTATGTCAAAGCATGTGAGTTGACCTCCACATGTCATCTTGTGCCTATCACAGCCCCCTATGTCAAAGCATGTGAGTTGACCTCCACATGTCATCTTGTGCCTATCACAGCCCCCTATGTCAAAGCATGTGAGTTGACCTCCACATGTCATCTTGTGCCTATCACAGCCCCCTATGTCAAAGCATGTGAGTTGACCTCCACATGTCATCTTGTGCCTATCACAGCCCCCTATGTCAAAGCATGTGAGTTGACCTCCACATGTCATCTTGTGCCTATCACAGCCCCCTATGTCAAAGCATGTGAGTTGACCTCCACATGTCATCTTGTGCCTATCACAGCCCCCTATGTCAAAGCATGTGAGTTGACCTCCACATGTCATCTTGTGCCTATCACAGCCCCCTATGTCAAAGCATGTGAGTTGACCTCCACATGTCATCTTGTGCCTATCACAGCCCCTTATGTCAAAGCATGTGAGTTGACCTCCACATGTCATCTTGTGCCTACCACAGCCCCCTATGTCAAAGCATGTGAGTTGACCTCCACATGTCATCTTGTGCCTATCACAGCCCCCTATGTCAAATCATGTGAGTTGACCACCACATGTCATCTTGTGGCTATCAAAGCCCCCTATGTCAAAGCATGTGAGTTGACCACCACATGTCATCTTGTGGCTATCACAGCCCCGTATGTCAAAGCATGTGAGTTGACGTCCACATGTCATCTTGTGCCTATCACAGCCCCCTATATCAAAGCATGTGAGTTGACCTCCACATGTCATCTTGTGGCTATCACAGCCCCCTATGTCAAAGCATGTGAGTTGACCTCCACATGTCATCTTGTGCCTATCAAAGCCCTTTATGTCAAAGCATGTGAGTTGACCTCCACATGTCATTTTGTGCCTATCACAGCCCTTTATGTCAAAGCATGTGAGTTGACCTCCACATCTCATTTTGTGCCTATCACAGCCCCCTATGTCAAAGCATGTGAGTTGACCTCCACATGTCATTTTGTGCCTATCACAGCCCCCTATGTCAAAGCATGTGAGTTGACGTCCACATGTCATCTTGTGCCTATCACAGCCCCCTATGTCAAAGCATGTGAGTTGACCTCCACATGTCATCTTGTGCCTATCACAGCCTCCTATGTCAAAGCATGTGAGTTGACCACCACATGTCATCTTGTGCCTATCAAATCCCCCTATGTCAAAGCATGTGAGTTGACCACCACATGTCATCTTGTGCCTATCACAGCCCCCTATGTCAAAGCATGTGAGTTGACCTCCCCATGCCATTTTGTGCCTATCACAGCCCCTTATGTCAAAGCATGTGAGTTGACCTCCACATGTCATCTTGTGCCTACCACAGCCCCCTATGTCAAAGCATGTGAGTTGACCTCCACATGTCATCTTGTGCCTATCACAGCCCCCTATGTCAAAGCATGTGAGTTGACCTCCACATGTCATCTTGTGCCTATCACAGCCCCCTATGTCAAAGCATGTGAGTTGACCTCCACATGTCATCTTGTGCCTATCACAGCCCCCTATGTCAAAGCATGTGAGTTGACCTCCACATGTCATCTTGTGCCTATCACAGCCCCCTATGTCAAAGCATGTGAGTTGACCTCCACATGTCATCTTGTGCCTATCACAGCCCCCTATGTCAAAGCATGTGAGTTGACCTCCACATGTCATCTTGTGCCTATCACAGCCCCCTATGTCAAAGCATGTGAGTTGACCTCCACATGTCATCTTGTGGCTATCAAAGCCCCCTATGTCAAAGCATGTGAGTTGACCACCACATGTCATCTTGTGGCTATCACAGCCCCGTATGTCAAAGCATGTGAGTTGACGTCCACATGTCATGTTGTGCCTATCACAGCCCCCTATATCAAAGCATGTGAGTTGACGTCCACATGTCATTTTGTGCCTATCACAGCCCCCTATGTCAAAGCACGTGAGTTGACGTCCACATGTCATCTTGTGCCTATCACAGCCCCCTATGTCAAAGCACGTGAGTTGACGTCCACAT